GTGCAAGACGGAGGATTCACATCGCCGGCGGCAACCAAGTCGACATCGACACCTTCAAGAATCAGATGAAAGCCACATTCAAGATGAGCGACTTGGGTTTGCTCCACTACTACCTTGGTCTGGAGGTGTCCTAGACTGAGGCCGGCATCACCATCTGTCAAAGCTCTTACGCGGCCAAGATCTTGGAGACTGCTAGGCTGACAAGCTGCAACCCCAGCGCAACCCCAATGGAACCTCGTCTGAAACTGAGCAAGGTGAGCTCGGCTCCTTCCATCGATTCAACCATGTATCGCAGTGTGGTGGGCTCTCTGCGATATTTGGTGAACACGAGACCTGATCTTGCGTATTCGGTGGGCTACATCAGCCGGTTCATGGAGAACCCAACCACCGAACACCTGGCGGCCGTGAAACGGTTGCTGCGATATGTCACTGGTACCCTGCACTACGGTTGCTTCTACAAGAAGAAGGATGCGTAGCTCGTCGGCTACAGTGACAGCGACTTAGCCAGGGACATCGACACGCGCAAGAGTACCACCGGCGTCCTCTTCTTCCTTAGTGACAACGCCAACACCTGGCAGTCACAAAAACAGAAGATTGTGGCGCTGTCTTCATGCGAAGCTGAGTACATCGCGGTGACAACAGGAGCCTGCCAGGGAGTTTGGCTGGCGCGGCTACTTGCTGAGCTCAAGAGTGAGGAGGCCAGCGCCATCACCTTGAGGATCGACAACCAGTCCGCCATCACGCTCAGCAGGAACCCTGTCTTCCATGACCGCAGTAAGCACATCGATGTTCGTTATCATTTTATTCGTGAATGCGTGGAGGAGGACAGGGTGAGACTTCAGTCCATTGGGACAACGGAGTAGCTGGCGGACATTCTTACCAAAGCTCTGGGGCATGAATGCTTTTGCGAACTGCGCTCCAGAATTGGAGTCATTGATGTACAGGGTTTACACAAGGATTAAGAGGAGAATTTGTTAGTAATCCTGTGTAATCCATAGATAGAGCATGTTTATTTTTAGCCTTTGCATGCACATGAGGACCAACATGTGGTTGCCGTGTGCGTAGGAGGTCGTGGACGAGAATCGCTCGCCATGAACCTGGGCATGCAAGCTATGGCCGGTGATTGCGGCGCATGGGGATGGACGTGCGCACTTCACGCGATCGTGGGAGCCATGGCTTGCATAGCTCTGCTCTGTAATTCAATAAAAGGAAGAATACAATCTCAGAAAAGCTGAGCTTCCAGGCAGCACCAAAACTCCACTGCGTTCCTGTTCTTGTCCATTGTTGTGCTCTCGTCCACTCCGACGTTCGCTAGAGCCCGCCGTCGGCGTTCCTCGCTTCTTGCGACTGACATAGGAAGCTATTTTGTTATTTTTAACCATGGACCAGGAAGTAGCTTCTTCCTTGTTGAAAGCAGCAAATTCAAGATCCCATCGAGGTCCTCCATGCCCCTAGAGATGGAAGAAGATCTTGTAAGCGGAGCATTCAAAATTACCCAACTTGAACACATGAAAACCCACAGATTTCGAAGAGACTAAAAAATGAAAAACGCGAGGACCAAGCTGGACAATATCAAAATCAGACGGGGAACCGCCAATGGTTGCCTGAAGGATCAGGGCAACCGAGAGGTTGCAGAGAGAGAAGCTGCAGTGACCGAAAGAAGCAACCAAGAAGAAAGCATGAGAGCCCAAGGTGGGAGTGACCGGAAGGCCGAACCTCTGTTTGATGACTGCCTGAACTCCAAGACCCGGGCGGAAATTAAGGCCTGGAAGCTCCATGGAGCAGGGGTCTTCTTAGAGCTTGGGGAGGGGTTCAGCAGTACCATGAGGGCGCTCCGTCAAGGCGGAAGGAGCATTGGGGAGGAGCTTGGGGCCGGAGTCTAGTGGGTGTGCCATCCTACTACTCGATTTCCACCACCTCCTTGGTCCAGCAAATCATCGAGCAGCTTGCATGCACGAACTGCAGGAGCCACTACCTGCGCTGGCGGAACTTTGAGATGCACTCGCTTAGTTCCGGGGTGGTGGGCGCCGCAGCCGGAGCAGCCAACGGTGGTTGTCGGCGGTGGCCGCCAGGGCCGAGGGAAACCACCGGCGCTAGCTCAGAGGGCTCTGCGGCCGCTTCTGCCTGAACTCCAAAACCCGGGTGGGAGTTTGGGCGAGATGCGCGTGCACGGCCGGAAGGCCCTCGCTGGGCACCGCGAGCAGCGACGCAGAGCGCAAGAGGGACGATAGCGTGGCGGCGTGGAGCTCCTAGCAGTCCTGCGCGGCGCCATGGCGGAGCGAGCCGCCCACAGGGGAGGCGGCGGACGTGGAGAGAGGCTCGCTTAACCCTATCGAGTTCCACCAGCGGGAAATCTAATTATTTGCCACTTTTACGGAGGCCGACTCTCTGATTGTCAACTTTATGGTGGCAACTACAAAAATGTCCTAGAAAATAGTAACTCGTCTAATATTTTGCCATTTTTACTGACATGGCATGCCAGATCAGCCAGCCAGCTTGGGAACGGGCCGTTGACGCTCGAAGACCGAAGCCAAAAGACCATTCTGCCCCCGCCGTGTATTGCTTAAGGGACCATTGCTTAACCAGCGCCGTCTCTCCCCCTCCCATCTGTTCAGTCCACTCGCTTCTCTCCGGGATTCTCTCCCGTCCCTCCCCTTTCATTCCCCGTGGCGGCGCTTGCTCGAGGCGGGCAGGCGGGAGCTCGACGGCGGCGCCAAGTTGCGTCCCCCAAGTCGTAGGACGGCACGACGCCTGCAAGGTTAGATCTACTTCCTTCTACCTACGCGCGGCATCTGTGAATGGGGGGATTCCTGATGCTAGGGTTTCCTAATTTTTGTGTGTTGATGTAGGATTCGGATGTAGAGCAAACCATTAGCCACGATGGTGTTGTCTCCGTGCCCCCCGTGGTATGTTTCATTGTTATGGCATGTATGTGAGGGGATCCCGTATGTGAGGGATGTCCTAACTCCCGATTTGTTTGTTTTGCTTGTCACTGTCAGGATTGATCCTGACAATGCTTTTAGAATCCATGTTAGCGTTGATAAATACACTTTGGCTAACGACTATGGAGTGGTTGACCTAGATGCTCAAGAACATGACCTGTGGTTTGACAGTAGCAATGTGTACACACTGAATGACTTTGTAGATGATATGGCCAGCAAGATCATTTGGGGCCGCAGTCAGCAACTGCTTATTTGGGGTGTTGACATTGACAGTGGAACAGAGTGGAAGGTTACTAGCAGTGATCAGTTTGAGGAGATGATAATGTCTAGGATGGATGAGAAGGTAATGCATGTTAGTTGTGATGTTGTTGAGAAAGATGCAGTTGGTCTGAATGATGTTGTTAGCAGAGCAAACAAAGGTGGGTCTTCTACTACTGCTGCCCATTCTGGTGTGACAAATGCAGGACATGCAGAGAATGCAGAAGGCTTAGGTGACACTTGTAGTACTCCTGAAGAAGGTAGAGCTGAAGAAAATGTGGTTGATTGGAACACATTGACTATATTGGCTGATGAGAACTGTGATGGTGAAGCTAATGCTGTGGTAGATGAGGATCAAATCTATGAGGCTTTTGGATTCAAGGCAGCAGATGAGGCTACTGCAGATGAGGTTCCTATTCCTAACATACCTGCTGATGTGGAGGATGAAATGAATGAGGCAGCAATCCCTGTTAATGATGACCTAGGAGATGAGCCAATGTTTGGTTGGGATAGAGACAACCCTGACATGAGTGTTGGGACACTGTATCCTTGCATGGATGATTTTAGGATGGCAGTTAGGCAGCATGCTATTGTGAATGAGTTTCAATTGGGGACAGAGAAGTCTGACAAGGAGAGGTTTAGGGGCTACTGCAGTTCCAAGGGCTGCCCATGGAAAATTAGAGCTAGGACACTGAAGGATGGCAGTGTCAGGGTACCAATACTAACACTTTTTTTTGTCCTTTTGGTGTAACCTTATTTCTGATATTTGCATGTTGTATATGAATTTATCTTAACTATTTCTGACATTTCTTCATGTATGTGCAGATCCAAATCAATAAGGGTACCCACAAGTGTCCTTCAAAGAGTAGAGTTCTTGGGAGGATGGCATCCCAGAAGTGGATTGCTGAGAGGGCTATACCACTATTGAAGGATAATCCTGAGATGGGCCCCAAAGCTGTAAAGGAAGAGTTAGAGAAGAAGTACAACATAAAGATTCCATATCAGACTGTATTTTATGGGAGACAGAGGGCTGCAGATAAATTATTTGGTAAGTGGGATGATTGTTTTGATTATTTGTTTAGATTCAAGGCTGAGATTGAGCTTAGGTCTCCTGGTAGTGTAGTTGAGATAGATACAGTTACTGTGGAAGGCAAGGTTCACTTCAGTAGATTTTTTTGTGCCTTCAAAGCAAGTATAGATGGATTTAGAGATGGCTGCAGACCCTATATTAGTGTAGATTCAACTGCTCTCAATGGTGAGTGGAATAGCCACATGCCTGCAGCCAATGCAATAGATGGCCACAATTGGTTGTACCCAATTGCTTTTGGCTTCTTTGATTCAGAGACCAAGGATAATTGGACTTGGTTCATGGAACAGTTAGGGAAAGCAATAGGGCCAATGAACCACTTGGCTATATGCACTGATGCATGCAAAGGGCTAGAAGCAGCTGTGAAAAAGGTTTTCCCTGGAGCAGAGCAGAGAGAGTGTTTCAGGCATCTCATGGAAAATATGAAGAAAAGGTTTACAGGAAATGCCTATGCCAAGTACATGTGGCCAGCAGCAAGGGCATGCACAGTAGAGAAGTTCAATAAATTGATGGACAAAGTTATTGAAGCCTATCCAGGAGTTGTTCCATGGTTGAAGGAACATCACAGTTTACTGTGGGCCAGGAGTGGATTCAAGGAAGAGATCAAGTGTGACTTCATAAATAACAATTTGGCTGAATCTTGGAATGCATGGATCCAAGCACACAAAGATCTACCATTAGACATTCTAGCTGATGCTATCAGGCATAAGACAATGGTACTTTTTGAGAAGAGAAGGAAGATATCCAAGGCCCTAAAAGGATTCATACTACCAGCAATAATTCATCAGCTAAATGCAGCCTCAAAGGGACTGAACCATCTGAAGGCAACTAAGGGTGGACCCAACCAAGCAGAGGTGATAGTCATGTACAATGATGAAGTTGTCAAGAGGCATGTTGTCTACCTGGACCAACATGAGTGTACATGCAGAGAGTGGCAAGTGAGTGGCAAGCCCTGTCCCCATGCACTGGCAGTCATAACAACTGAAAGGCAGCCAAATATGGAGCAATATGTGGATGTGGCCTACTCAGTGCACAAGTTCCAAGTAGCATATGCAGGAATGATTCCTGTCATCACTGATAAGAGCCAGTGGCCGGTAGTTGAGAAGGGATTCAAGCTTCTTCCACCAATTGGGAAGAAAAGAGGACTTGGGAGGCAAAGGAAGAAGAGGGTTAAGGGATGCCTGGAGAGAAGTGGCAAAGCCACAAGGCAGGTTACTTGCAAGGGCTGTGGTGAATTAGGCCATAGAAGGACCAGTTGGAGGTGCCCACTAAGTGGCACCAAAAAAAGGTAACTTACTAACCTACCTTTGCTGAAATCCTTTCACCATTGTTAACTAACTTAATGAAATTGTAGGAAGAGGACAAGAAAGACAAAGACCAAAAAGGGGCCAAAGAAGGGTGCTGACAAGGAGTATGAACCTGCTCCAGCTAGTGAAACTACAAAGAAGACCACACGAGCCTTCACCAGCTCCACCACCAGCAGAAGCAGAGCCTGAGCCTTCACCAGCTCCACCAGCATAAAGCACCATCACCAAGGACTCCAAGAACAAGGGCAGCAGTAGCAAGGGAAAGAGAGGCAGAGGAAGCAGCAGCAGCAGCAAGGTAAAATCTGAACCTAAATTGTGACTCAGGAACTTGCCATCTCGACAACAGCTCACTAAACCACTTTCAAATGCAGGAGGTTGAACTTGGAAGCTCCACAACCACTTGAAATGATCATTCCAGAGGCTGAATCTCTGCCAAACCCTGCACCAGCCAAGAAGATGACCCCTAGGAGGAAGCAGCTAGCCACAAAGGTGAAGAGTTCTTCTGCCAAGGGAAACTGATGAAGCAATGAATCCTTGTGATCCATATTTTGGGAACTCTGTTATGTCATTGAAAGGTGCATGAACAACTTGTTATGGTATTGTAAGTTGAATGGACAACTTGTAATGTATTGCCTTATAGGCCTAAACAACTTGTGATGACTTTGCTAGGGTTGTGTCATGTATGCAGACTAAACTTGCTATGTTTGTGTCATGTATGCGGACTGAACTTGCTATGGTTGTCAAGAGCATATCAGTTGTCTTGCAGTGATGATTTTTGGATATCATGTACAAGTGAAATAACAGAAATAATATTCCATTAACCATTCAACATTTTCACACATATATGCCCACTAATTGGTCAGACTCATACTAAAACACAGAGCTCATTACTCAACTGAGATACAACTTGAAATAGTTCAACGGGATCCCGAGTTCAACTAACAGACAAGGGAACTAACAACTAGTCAAACTAACAGAGAACACATACATAGCTCCAACCACTACACCAGCACCCATGACCAAGCTCAAAGCCTTCACTGCACCAACCAAAGCATCCAGCTTCACCTCCATTGAGTTCTTCTGCACACGCACCAGTGCCCTTGAATCAGCTTCTTCCTCTACTGCGCCATGTTGTTCTAGATTCATCACAATCTTCCCCTGGTCCACCAATATGGCTAGGTACTCTCGCTGCCACTCAAAAAACCTACAAGATCCTGGAACCTAATCACATGGAAACATATTTGATGTGACAATCGATTCAAAACCCTAACAAATCGGAACCCAAAGAATGTGGCTTACCCCTTGCATGTTCCTGGGACATTTGAAGAAGACACGACCCTTGTTGCATTTCTCATCTGTCTGGGCCACGAGCTCGAGCACCCTCTGCAGCCCACACTCCTCGCACATGATGAGGGGGAGCCCTGTCTGCCTCCCGAGTGGGTACTCCCCTATCCTATCCGGCAGCTGCGGACGCCTATTGCATGTTGATGAGCTCGCTCGACGGGACATGGTGGCTAGGGTTGGGGAGGGCAATGGAGGGGCGCCGGCGACCAAGGACGGGGAGACGAGGGATCCCGGGAGCCGAAGGAAGAAGAAGAAGTGCGGAGAGAAGCGAATAGATGGGAGGAGACGTCGCTGGTTAAGCAATACACGGCGGGGGCAGAATGGTCTTTTGGCTTCGGTCTTCGAGCGTCAACGGCCCATTCCCAAGCTGGCTGGCTGATCTGGCATGCCACGTCAGCAAAAATGGCAAAATATTAGGCGAGTTACTATTTTCTAGGACATTTTTGTAGTTGCCACCACAAAGTTGGCAATCAGAGAGTCGGCCTCCATAAGAGTGGCAAATAATTAGATGTCCCTCCACCAGCTATACGTGTGATCCCCGTCTATTCTTTTTCGAGAGAATTATGTATTTAGCATTTGAAATCAATTTTTATTATTTAACACTAAAAATTTTAAAATTTCTTATTTAGCATCAAGTTAAAAAAATCTGTAGATGGCACTACCGTCCATTTAGTGCATCCATCCATCACTTGACTCTGTTGACCCTGTCATGTTTATTTCGAAGTACCAAAATGCCCCTCTATACTCGCTCGAGGCCGGTGGCTTGTCTCTTGCCTAGGAGCTCGTGGAGGCATGGTGGCCTCTCGTGTTGGACTCGGCAGATCGAGGCACGGGGACGCACTGGGAGTTCCTCGCCCACCAGCGCTGGCCCCACCTCGCAACGCGGGGGACGTAGCGGGGCGGTCTCGCCCACCGACACTCGCCCTATTCCTTTGGGCTGGTTTGGCTTATAAGCCATGACTGAAAGTACTGTTGGCTGGTTTGGTGTAAGAGAAAAATATTGTTCGTTAGCTGATAAGCCATGACTTACAAGCCAAATATGACTAAGCGAACAGGCTGGCTAGTGCCAGGCCGCGACGCGGGGGACGCGACAGGGCGAGCTCGCCCGCCGGCGCTCTGGCCAGCCCACTTGGCTAGTCGTCGCGAACAGGCCGCGGGGCGGCATCGCCTGCCGGCGCCCAAAACGGGGCGCGCGGCTCCTCAAGGAAAAGAGAGCGATCGAGAAGTTCCTGCATAATCACCTACAAGATCCGCGCGCAAGCCTGGATACGCCACGACCGTTCATGCGCAGCACAGCGTGCGTCTCTGCAAGGAGGAGGAGGTCGTCGAGCAGCTTCTCTGTCCAGAGATGACGTGATGGCGCTGGAGCTCGATGCGACGCTGGTCATGTGGCTCCGGGCGTGGGACGAGCGGCGGCTGTGCTGCGCAAAACGCGGCCTCTCTTGCGTTGGTGTGGAGCAGGATAGCGATGCCAGATGGCGCGACTCGACTCGGGCGCGCTCGTGGCCTCACGGCCCGGTGCTGAATCGCTCGGCGTCAAACGGCGATCATGCCATGCATGGTGTGTTCTGTTCTTGAGCTATGATGTTATGATGACGACTCTCCTTTTCTTTTAGAAAACTAAAAGATAAATACCTTGAAAATATAAGTTACGTATTTAAACCAGCAGCCATCGTGAGCCATGCATTCTTGATATGTGGCCGAGATGAAAGAAAGAGTGAGGGCCATAATCTGTACCTGTTATTACCAATTTGAAATTTATTGATTATTTATTTGCAGTCTTCAATTATCAAAAATCCACATTTTAGTTCAAAGTATATTTATGATATTTATGATTTTCTTATTTGACAATCTGTCTATTTATTTTTTCTCTATTTAGCACCATGGACTTTTGCTACAATTAAGGGCATTTATGTCATTTTGCTAGCCACTTGACACCGTTACTGGTCTAAATGGACGGCAGTGCCATTTACGAAAGAAAATTTCAACTCGATGCTAGATAAGGAAGTTCAAATTTTCTAGTGCCAAATATGAAAGACCGATTTATTTTAGTGCCAAATATATAATTTCTCTTCTTTTTCCCCTCTATATATCCGTTTTCTTTTATTTTTGTCTGGGGACGAGAAAACTGAGGCCTTGTTTAATTTACCCCAAAATCCAAATTTTAGCACTATGCAAAAAGAAGATTTCCCGTCACATCAAACTTGCGGTACATGCATGGAGTACTAAATATTGATAAAATCAAAAACTAATTGCACAGTTTGGTTGTACTTTGCGAGACGAACGGTTTTGAGCCTAATTAGTCAACGATTGGACAATTATTACCAAATACAAACGATTGTCAACGTCTACCCGGCAGGAACAAAACACTCATGCGATCCATATCCGGCAGGCAAATAATCACCGCATCTCATGTGATCCATATCCGACAAGCAAATAATCACCGCATGGAGACACTGTAAGGCAAGTAAATAAAATAGAATAAAACGGAAACAGAATTATGGGAAGAGAAAAGAATTTATTGGAATATCACCACGTAATGATCATGATCGTGATCTAAATCTCGTTCGTCGTCCATCGCATTGCGTGTCGACAACAAATACTTTTTTTTCTAAAAAATGAATTATTGACATGCCTCATGTGGGCTAGGATATTATAAGTCCGAGTATACATGTTTTGGCAAGATAGAGCATGGATAAATTTAATTCGATGCCTAGCAATAAATTTTTAGCCTTTGAGGCAACTAATGTTTGTCACAACTTTCACACAACAAGCTCCAAGCCTAGCTTTTATTTCAGATTCATTACGATAATGAATGTGTTTCTAGACATTATCATGGTATAATATATGTGAAAAATTGAATTGATATATTCTTGATTTTGACTTGGCTAATAAATATCTCATTCAATTTATGTTGCATCCGTTGCAACGCACGGACACTCATCTAGTGGAGAATATATATCGAGAGTTAGTGACCGAAAAGTCACTATCCCAGAACAGGTCTTCGTTGCTGGTTCAAAAACCTTATCATTGTCGTTTCTTAAACCGGCAGTAGGAAAGTGTGAGTGATGAGGTTTTTCATAAAACCAAATTCAGGCTAAAAAATAACAATTTTTTTTAATATCAGGAGACCCCTTTGGACAGCCATTTTCATGATTTTTCAAATTTCTCCCATAAAATTCCAGCATTATTACTGTAAAATTCCGGCGTTCCCAATAGGCCCTTAAACTTTTTGCAATCCCCGTAATGACGTGCAGGGTATCTTCCAGTGTTTGATAAGAAAAGCCCTAAAGCCTCCTCTGGAGCACATAAGAATAGTACAGGATTTCCTACAGAAAAACCATAGGAAACATAAAAAAAAATCCCAAATTCCAAAGTGGGCCTAGCGGCGGGCTGGCAAAGATGAGGCGTGAATTATTTCAAGTTTAGGCTCTCCATGTTCCCTGCTCTCCTCCCCTAGCGCCCCCCCCCCCAGGTGATCTCTAACCGTTCTTGTCCACCATCTTCTCCTTAGTCTTGTTGATTGCCAAAAATATGCCAATATTGAATTTGGGTTGTACCAATAGTGGAAATTGGGTTGTACCAATAAGTTTGTGGGATCAATACACTGTTGGGAAATGTTTGGTGCAACAAAATTCACAGCACAAGGGAAAGAAGAACAAAATTGGACTTGCCCTGCTCAAACTGACCGGTTTCCTGTGTGTTGCCAGCCAGGCACAGTGCATGGCCCCAAGGAAACCGTCCAGGACGGTTTTCCTGCCCTTTTCCGAACCGATTTGTTTTTCAAATCAGTTTTAGATCTATTTTCAATGTGGAAAACTTAGATATTATGTTGTGGACTTGTTTTCTACTGGGATAAAACCATCATATCTAATCACGGTTGATTGAGGAATCCAACTTGCAATCGTCCTAAAATACATCTACTACTCTTCTAACTCTATCTCTACCTCGTTGTTCGTCACTTCTTTCAACGAGATTTGATAGCATTTTAGGTGGTCTTGCCGACCCTAGGACAACCTCAACATGCTTCTCCCGACGGGTCTTCCCAGAAGGTGTTTGAGAGTCTATCAAGTGAAGAACGGGCTTTAAATTGGCATAATCGGCTTATCAGTCGATTTCGTCGGCTTGTCGATCGGTTTCGTTGATTTACCGTGTTCTTTGCGATCAAGGTCATGTGTGACCTCGGACGTGCAGCCCTCACTAGTGTATGATGTAACTCGCCGTCAATGAGTCCCTTGCTCATGAAGCTCCCGCATGCTCACATGGACGGCGGCCAGCAGGTTAGACGGCAGTGCCGCCGCCGGTGGTCATGGCATCAACGCTCAACGACCTCACTCACATGGAGGGATAGGGGCAGCGGGGCAGTGCACGAACTCCGGATGCACTAGAAAAACTGGTACGGCCTTTGTTGCACCTTACTTGATTACTTGAGCGTGCCAGCGGATTATTACCTCGAGATGTCAGATGAAGAAACTCATCATGATTTTACAGACTGAACCGGTATGAATATTCTGTTTAATCAATTTAATTAAGTGATTCTTCTCTATTAATATATATCTGGCATGCTCTCGCGGCTGGTTATTTGAAAAAAAAAATTGATTAATCACTAATTGTGAAATGGATTCTGGCAACTATTTGAAAGATGAAAGGGTAGAGAGAAAATGTCCATGTCAATCTCTAGTATGTTCTACAATTTACTTAGATTTTTACTACATCTGGACCATCGAAATGAAACCAGCACGTGAAGAACTATGACTATCTAGCTTGTTTCACACTTCACTTATGTACGGGCGACGAGTCACATTCATCATCGTCGCGGGCCGGTTATGTTCATCGAGGCAGCGAGGCTGCAGCACGTGAAGAACACAGCAGCAGCTTCACCTCAGTACCTCACCGGTGCTCCGCGGCTCCGCCTAGCTACTTCGCTGGTTATGTCAGTTATGTTCATCGGCGGGGGGGAGCGCTAGCCAGTGTGGTCTGGCGAGCAACTGCGGCGCACTCACTTGTGCAGTTGCGCTCGAGCCGTCTCGGCAAGGGACCGAGGACACGATGATTTTTTTCTGGACTCGAGAAACGCCTGAGAAAGTAGTAGAGAGTATTGCAGGAGACACCGAGACGTAGCATGCTCGTGAAGCCTCTAGAGTTGTATCCTGACTGACGGTTCTGATTTCACCGTGCTAGGGATCGAACGGTCATGCTTCCTTGGTGACGTGGCCCAATGAAATGTTAGAGCTTAGGCTCTGATTTCGTTACCCAAAGATAGGGATACAGGTAGAGATAGAGATTTGTTGGCGTCACGTTCTGACGCTCGTTCCGTTAAAGATGCTATATTTAATTTTTGTTTAAAATTTCATCAATTATGAATTCTTGACCGGTCAACATAAGTGAATCCCGATCGAAAAATTCCGAAATTTCGTCCATTTGTCGCCCTTGAATCCGAGAACCTACTCGCGCCGTCGCGCGTCGGCTACCTTACTCCGGCTCCGGACACCTGAAAGCGCGCGCGTGCTCCGACCGCGGGTCAGGCGGCCGCGTTGTCCCCGTAGCGGCGTAGCCTGAAGCCGCCGATGCGGGGTTGGCCTCCGTGGTCGCCGCCGCCAAAGGGGACGGGAAGCCGCGGCGGCAGCTCGAGGACCACAAGGCGGCAGGGCCCAAGGAGGGTTGCGGCCCCACGGCCGCCGCCGCGGAGCACGAGCAACTCGCTGCCGTGTCTCATCGCTGTCACGGGTAGGCGCCGCATCCCGTCCAGCCATCCACGCGCCGCATCAGATTCTCCCCAAAAACCCAGCGGCTGTATCACGTCCTCTTCGATGGAAGGTGGCCCAGCCCCAGGTGCACAACGCCCAGGAAGGGATGGAGGCGGTCATGGAGCTCGAGCTATTGTTCACGGAGATGATCAGGATATCATCGTCGCCGCCATGGGCGCCTGCGAATTGTAGATACCAATGTCCTCCGACTCCGTCCTCACCTTCGGCAGTGGTATGGATCAAAATTGCATTCCTCTGCTGACTATGTTTCTCCAGCATTCCGTCAAACAAGTCGCCTGAACATCCTATTGCTGTGTTTTTCTGATTCCTCCATTTTTCTTTCAGTCATGGAATCGAACACAAAGGAAAGTTTTGTATATTTTTCGTATGAGCAATTCCTGCAAACCAAACGATGCTACAGTAATTCAAATCCATAGGAATGGAAATCCAATGTTTTTCCTACAATCCAAAGGGGCCCAAAAACTGAGGATTTTTGGAATGTGATCTGCGTCAAGTGGCACTGAAGGGAGCCGTGGAATTTTGCTTTGCATGATGAGCCAATGGTAAAATGGTCGTTTCATCTCGCTTTTAGCGGCCATTACATCTAAAATAGACGGCAGTGGCACTAAGGTCTAGAGAAATTCAACTCAGTGGCTGCCATGGTAGATATGGAATTAGAAACTTTTTTTATTGGCCTGCAGGTAATTGGCTAATGTAAAAATATGGCCAGAAGTCCGTTGCAGATGTACGTGGACCCTCAGTTATTTCTATTTCGTAACACATTTTTGTTGCTCAGATGTGCATTGTATTCTGATGTTGAATTCTTTTACATCCTAGTAACTATTAATAATAACCCAGTTTGGTTTTCTGCCTTGGCTTCTTACTTGTGGCATCTTGTTGGTTTTGTGCAGGATGACTCTGCTTTTAGGCCCACCTGGGTCAGGCAAGACCACCTTGTTGCTGGCATTGGCTGGAAGGCTTGATAAAGACCTCAAGGTTTGTGAGTTTTTAAACTGTTTGCAAATGTACATAAATGCGAATATCAATAAATTGATTTTGTTCAAACTACAATCTATATGCATGCCCAGGAATGCATGTTTCACCAGCAAGCACTTCATAATCAGTACAAATGTGTGCAGTAATTTTAAATGAATGCGCCATCTTTTTGCAGAAATAGAATGATCCAAACTAATAAACATTATCACACGTTTTGCAATGTGGTAATGATAATATATACATTGCAGGTTTCCGGAAGGGTTACCTACAATGGGCATAGCATGGATGAGTTTGTGCTAGAGAGGACGTCTGCATACATCCGCCAGCATGACCTTCACATCCCAGAGCTGACCATTAGAGAGACGCTTGCTTTCTCTGCACGGTGCCAGGGTGTCGGTGCTCGATTTGGTATGACTCCAGAAATCAATCGGAAGCCCATGCACTCTTTTTTCTGCTGCTTGCAGACTCAGTTTTCCTTCCATTTCTTTACTATATTGTTAGATATGCTCTCGGAGCTGCTGAGGCGCCAGAAGGAAGCACACATCATACCTGATGCTGACATCGACGCATTTATGAAGGCAAGAATAATTCTCCTTACCTATACATAAACAGAGTTTTAGAGCTGATCTTCAATCTGGAAACCAAGTATAATTCCTTTATTTGACTTTTCATAATTATTAGGCGTCTGCTATCGAGGGAGAAGAGGCCAACGTTGTAACTGATTATGTACTGAAGGTATGGCTTCTCTTTAAGTTACAGCTTCAAGTCAGTGTTATCAACTGAACTAGTATCAATAGGTCCATGTCTGGTTCACCATTTTACTTGTATGTTATTGGGAAATTGCAGATTCTAGGACTTGAGATATGTGCAGATACAATTGTAGGGGATGAGATGCGGAGAGGCATCTCTGGTGGACAACGGAAGCGCGTCACAACAGGTTACATGTTTTGAACACAATTCTCATTTTTAATCACATAAAAAACATTATTTGTTGGATTTGGAACTTCAATCTTTCGGTTAATGAAGATGTTACACCTGAATATTTCACTGAAACAATCTCAATATATTTTTTCAGATTGAAATCCGTTTGACCCCTAAACTTGTCATTGAATCTAGAAAACATCTCTCGACTCAAAAACCGGAAATTTTTACATAATCATATTTCAAAATTAGAAAAATTAACTACAGTAGTTAAAAAAGTAGTTTTGAGTCACCTCGTCCTTTTTTTGTTCAAAAACAAATATGGTAAACACTAGATAAGGTTTTTAAACCTAGAAAAAATATCTTGAATCCTCAAAAACTCAAGATATATTAGGACAAAATGCACCCAATTGAAATATCTTGAGCTCATAAAATTATCTCATGTTTTTGTTGTATGTTGCATTCCTGCTGATTGCATCTCATGTTTTTGTTGTGAAAAGTTTTCAAAATGTGTTTAGACATGGATTAGAATGTTTGAGGCACGTTATAATATTTCCCCTTTTTCTAGAGCTAAATCCAATTTTAAAAGTCCTCCAAAGATAATTTTACAATGTCTAAATGTTTTATTTGAGTGTATATTGTTGTAATATATCGCTAGGATTTCTCTAGGTTTTTTCTCGGATTTTCATATGCTTGAAGATATTTTTTGTGGTTTAAAAACCCTTATGTAATGTTTATAGGATTTTTTAACTAAAAAGGACGATGTAGCTCAAAACCAGCCTTAAAATCACCTTTAACAAATGTAGGAGGTAATTTGTCTAGTTTTCAGAGGTTGAGGATATAAGATTTCTAATTATTAAGTTCAGAAGGTTATCTAGATTTAACGACAAGTTCAGTGGGGTCAAAAGGACATCATTTTATTACTAATTGGTGGCCTCCAATAGAGCCTGCACACAAATCATCATGATACATGCTAGGAAAAAAATAAAACCTAGAAATTTTCACAATAATATGAAATACATTGTCTTTAATCATCATCACCACAAAAAAATAGTTATTTGATCTATCCTATTTTCTAAAAATTTACCCATCTCTATCATTGTGATAAATACTTAAAGTAACTCCCTAAATTTGCATCTCAATTACCAACCTTTGCTATTATGAAAAATAATGTGACAATCCCCCAAATTTGCATCTAAATTGCTTGCCTATATCACTATGAAAAACAATGCAAATTTACCCCTAAATTTAAATCTAAATTAGCCAACTTTGACCTTACGAAAGATAATGCAAATTGCCCCCTAAATTTGCTTTTATATTACCTACATCTGTCAATACCAAATATAATATAAAATAATCCCTTTAATTTGTATCTAAATAACCAACCTCTATTATTTTTTTTAAAAATTAAACTACAATATTTCTTGAATCTATGTCAGAACACCAATATAAACTATTATGGAAAATATTTCAATAACCATAAAGTATGCTATATATGTTCCCAAATTTAACTGTTCTATTGCTATTAAATTGAAAGTAAGCATGATATGTGCCACCATGCTGACAAAGTAAACATGTATAGATAAATAGGTTTATCAATCGTGAAAAAAATCTAACCCTAACAAATCGCATACCCATGGCATTAACACTTGCCTTTAAATCATATAATATGCTCTGTGGCAATAAATTTTCTAAGTTGTCATTTTAGATAAGTTTATATATTTTGATTGAAACATTATGTTATATCAATGATTATAATTTAATTGTAAGCACTCTTATATTATTACAAAACAATATTACTATATATATAGTTACTAGATATAGCAAATTCAACATCCTGAGTATTGTGATGCATGCTGACATGATTGCTAATGCTATTATAGTAACTAAGATAGAACGTACAAAATAAAAATAGCTAATAAGATCAATAGTTGAAAGTTAAAATATATATTCATGACTTCACAAGATATGTAAGAAAAAATCCTATAAATTCTCATAATAGTCAGAAATATCAAATATGTGGCAATTAATTTGGTTGACTCTAATCATCTAGAGAATAATAGACAATTGATATATTTATTTTTCTAAAAAAAGCCCACTCCCCTAAATCCACGTCCAAACTACCATCTTATAACATTATGAAAGATAATTTAAAATAACACCAAATTTTCCTTTAAACTATCCAACTCAGTTCTACCTCTATTAAATTTAATGTAAACATAAATGTTGTTTCACCATCTATACAAATTAGACATATATACCGACCAATCTCAGCCGTTTGATCGTAGATGGGTGGCGGAGATTAGAAGACGGGGAGGGAGAAGAGTTGCCGGCGCCGAAAACGGAGCCGAGGCGGCAGTAGACATGGCCGGCGGCAAGAGACCTTGCCGGCACGCTTGCAATCGACCCTAGAGGCCACGGGAGAGCAAACTGGAAGCACAGGGAAGAAGGCAGGAACGGAACGAGGTTGGCGGGCGGCTCGGCGGGGAGACGGCGACGGCGGCGCTAGGGTTTTGTGGTGCTGGCTCGGTATCTAGGGCACGGGGCGGCCGCGGACGGAGCTAGATGGAGGCGGCGGGTTCTCGAGTTTGGCTTTTATGGGGCGGGAAGATGTGGAGTGCATGGCAAGGCGCGGCGTGGGACGGCGTCGGACTCTCGCGACGGACAGAGTCCGGGTCGCCTGCGGCGCGAGGAAGAAGAAGGCGGTGTCGCTGACACGTGGGGGTCGGGCTGACATTGACACAGGGCGCGGAGAGAGGGGAGCGCGGCGATGCGGCTGGCTAGGCCCAAGTGAAACTAGGCCGTGGAGAGGGAGTGAAGCGGGGAAGCGGAGAACTGGGCCGGTGGAGAAGGTGGGCCGCGTGGGAGGAAAGCTAGTGCTGGGCTGCGGCTCTGATGAGGAGAGCGGAAGAGCGGGAGCGGGCTGGCTGGCCTTGCTGGGCTACGCGGGACCAGCAGGGAGAGGAGAGAGAGAGAGAGAGTTAAGTTTTTTTTCAAATGTTTTTCAAATCTATTTGAATCATTTTGAATTTTAGACAAAGCCATAAATTCCAATAATTCCAATGCACCAGCATGTATGCACAAACAAGTTGCTAAACCTTATATTTGATTTTAATTTTAACAAAGTTTTTTTCTAGGTTTAAATGCTCACAAAATACCAAATTAAATCAAATTTACCTATTTGAAAATCTTACAAATTTTAGGGTGTTACAATTCTACCCCTTTAAAATGAATCTCGTCCCTGAGATTCGGAAGACGTTGACTCGGAGATAGGGATACTCTGTTTTTAATTCTTCTTTACTTCCTCATGTAGTTTCATCTTCTTGATAAGGATCCTACTTTACTTTGCATACCTGTTAACCTTACTCCAACTATCTTGCCAAACTGATTTCAAGATTCTGACACATACTCCAAACAATATCCAGGTAACTCCAATCACTAGGCCACCTATTCTTTTTAGTCCATACTTATTAGACCTCTTTCTTCATATGTTCACCTTCCAACGGAGCCTTTTCACTTTCTTGGTCCAAAGTAGGCTCTGTCACCAACTTTAAAACTTTAATGACTACATATGCTCAGGTTAAGCTGCTCAACTCTCAAGCACACTTCTAAATCCATGGTGTCGTCCGAATCTTCTTAGCATAACTCTCCTTTGCTAAGGGCATCGACCACGACTCTGCTTCTCGAAGTAATAGCACTTTTCCAAGTCGTAAAACCTTGATTGCTTCAATCCAACAATGATGTCACAAGCTCAAAACCATCTTGGTGAAGATATCCTTTAGATTCTTGTGATCCACCTAGATGTCACTTGTTATGTCCAAGTAGATAGTACCTCATGCTCCACAATGGATAACTCCAGATCATACGTCAGATGTTCCATCTCGTGTTTTCTTACATAAGCCTCTACTTTTTCTTCTTACATAAGGACACATCCCACACCTTGACAGGGTGCATCCTAGTGGATATAAAGTTCTTGTCCGAATCTGGCAAAGCTAATACTTAGGTTTTACTTCAACCTCTTTTTTTACTCCTTCAAAAACTTAGCTGAGGTCTCTTGATCCGAACTTAAACCTTCTGCAGTAACACTATCAATATCTTGATGGTCTTGGGTAAACTTCCCTTGAACCTCTAACCAAACCTCATTATTAAAAACTCTGAGTTTCTCTCACATCTTTGAGTGGGTTCCTATCACATCATTAACTTTCTTCAATCCAAACCTTCTTGTCATGCTTAGTATATCATTGGAATTTCCTAAGACTCCATAGAATCATCTGTAGTTATCAAATATCTCATTCCTATGTCATCAATGCCTACTTGTCCTAGGTATGTTGAAGATTGGACTCCTAGCTGAGTATAGCTCAAATTGTAGAGCCATATTGACGAATGCATCCATTCCTCATAGATGATCCAATAACTTATCAACCGAGCAAAGGATACTTACTCTAGATGATGAAGCCCTTAAGTGGTATACATCCTCTGAGTATACACCTTCTAATAGGTCATTCTCATATTCCTCAGGTGCAGGTTGAATACCCTCATACTCAATTCTTTCTCCTGACGATGTTATTAGAAGCACCGAACATTGGGCATACTTAATCACTCCCTTACAAGCAGACAACCATCCATTTCTAAGGATAACATCAATGTCCATTAACTCCAAAACTATAAGGTTTGCCTCGAAGTTTACCCCCTTTATATCAAGACTAACTTTTGGGCATATGCAGTTTGCCTTCATTTCTCCTCCTCGAGAGTTAAGTATCAGGGGTTTCCTCATTGGAAGCATAGTTATCTTATGATCTTCTACACATTCCCTAGATATGAACGAATGTGACGCACTGGGGTCAAACAAAACCATGGCAGTGGCTGAGCTTACTGCAATCAAACCACAAACTACCTCCTTAACTCCATGAGTGGTAATCAGATCCACATTGTTCAACCTGCCTTAAATGTAGTTTTGCTTTAACTTATTTCCTTGCACCTGCTCCTTATGGACATTATGTTTTGGCTCCTGCTGCTGTTGACTCTGGCTT